GCTGAAGTCATGCCTTCTGTCTTCTTTTTTAATTAAAAAAAAAAAAAAGGGATTTGTGTTCAGACCCCAAGAGGGAAGCCAGGATAATGAGCCTGCAGACCCTCTGGGGTGCACTGAAGCACTGACCCACAACAGTAGCAGAGAGATGTATTAAAATCCTTTATGTGCCTTCTATTCAAGCGCAGGCCAGCTGCTATGAGCTCTTTCAGTGCCATCTCTTGCCAGGCTGTACATGTTTGACCTCTCCTGGAGCCCGATTCTGCTGTACACTCAGTCGTTAATTTGACAGGCTAAGAACATGTCGAAGCCATTTACCCTCTTGCTCTCTGATGGCAGAGTGAGTGCCCTGCTGCTTTATTCTTGGGCAAACTTTCAAGAAGAATTTTTCTGAATTCTAAAACTGCGTTATTTCCTCGAATGCTGCCACATGATGCAACGATCAACTTCCTGCTAGGGCCCTGCTAAGCCAGTTGCTACTTTTGAGAGATCCATGGAACCACTATTATCTTCCTATATACATTGCGTGCTCAATTTCTGCTCTAGGGGATCCTGAACACAGATTTCCCTTTACAAAGGGCTTAGTTTGTTGTCAAGCAGAGACATGGAAGAACCAGATTCTGTTTTCACTTCTACTGTTGTCTTGCTGTTCTGGGCATAATAAATACTTGAATATATATTAGCTTTTCCATATGCTAAGTAGTGATCATCATTCTTTAAAAAGCTCTCAAAAAATGTCTTCAGTGAAGCATATGAAACCAAGCCACCCAGAATCACTTCTTACTGAAAATCTGTATTAAGAAATTAAGTATTAAGAAATGAAATATATAAGATGTACTAAAAGATTAAGAACATCTGAAGAGTGGCTTAGTGCAACAGGAGCTATTCCCATAGAGTCCCCCTATAACCCAGGGCGCAGTGTGGTCATTGGGTGCAAACCTTCTGCTCCTGCTCCAGGATGCAGCCACACACCTCTGACTGACTGCGTAAAAGCCTGCAGAGATTACACTGCTCAAGCTGAAGTAAGCCCTTGTGGATACCTGCTCTTTACTGGTGCCACTTTCCGTGTCTTTCCTAATGTACGAGATGCACATTTTTCCCCTCAGGAGCACATGGATGGTAACATCAGCAGTAATCGGCTCATCAGACTTCTGGCTAAGTTGCCTTCACAGTAGCGAAGGCTGGAAGGAGAGGTGAATTAGGTGCAACTTACATGAAAATGTGGAATCTCTCCCTATTATTATTGCATAGTCGGAAATTATCAGCCTACTTACCCTATTCTTTAATGTTTTGTTCTTCTCCCTTTTATGTGCCCCCTCTACCTAGGCTATAAACCTGAGTACAAGGGGTTATTTCAGAGACACAAATCTTACCTTGGGAGTAAGTGTGACTGTGGCTTGGGCACCGACATCTAATTAAAAGAAAACCAAAAATCACGGGGTTAAAGCAAACTCGCAAAAACGAACAAACGAAAGAATATGAGAAATTCATCCCTGTAAAAGAAAGTCTCCTCCTTCGTGTGCTCATTTACCGCCTTTTACTTTAGAAGTTTTGACAACGGCGACTGCCACCTAGTGTCCAACGCCCATAAGCTCCTTGCGCTGGATTTACGCTGAGGGCCTGCTTTGGGGAGCAGCTCCGCAAGCCCGAACACCCACCCGCGCTGGGGGCCACACACACGAGCACGGGATACACATCCCACCGCCCGAGCGGGTGCCCGGGAGAGTGCGAAAGGGTTGCGGGAAGGCAGATGTGACGTGAGGGGCCCACGGTGCCGCTGGCCCTGCAGCACCTTAATGGCCTTCGGCGACGCCGCTGCGTCTCCTGCAGCGCAGGCAACAGTGCGCAGCAGCAGGGCACGCGGATGGCCAGAGAGGCTTGTGATGGAGTGGGAAAGTTAGGGATGCACAGGGGGGAAAAGTGATGGGATAGTAACAGCAATAGGAATGTATCGCGGTTATTAACGTGAGATAGGGCCGGGCAGGCCTGCGAGGGAGGCTGTGCCCAGGGCCCGGCGCGGGGAAGGCCACCCGGCGCGGCGCGCAGGGATCAGTGCGGCCCCTTGCCGAGCAGGGCGACCGCACGGGCAGCCGGGCCCGCGCGCGGCCCC